CAAGAATCCTATGGATCCACACAATTGTCCTGCTTGATTCACTTGCATGACTGACTTGACTCATTTGATGCAACAAGTACCGTAGGAACAGTACGGAGGATCACTCGTGGATCCAATCATGAGTCCCCGGGACCCAAAACTATATATATAGTATGGAAAACTATATAGTACTACTACTAGTACTATTAGTACTACACAAGAGTACGAGTACCGGACAGTATACTATATATATATACTACACGAATCAAAGTACTACTATATACAGATCAGTATATAACTGTATATATATACTTCCTCTTTACTAATTCTCAGAACGAGAATTAGAATTCAGAACAGAACTAATCGATTGGGAGTTCTGTTCTAAAGTCACTCAGTACAAGCAGTACTAAGTCCTACATCATCCGAGAACTCAGGAAAGGAACACACACTTGACTTGTACTGCTTGGATGTATATTTCTACTATCAATTCTATTCATTCTAACTCACTGAATCCAGTAATAACACGGGAAAGCGCGTGAGAGGTGGATTCATTGAGTTAACACTTTATTCATTAGTTTTAGTCTCACAATCCTAATTAGAGCAATCTAATAAACACTACTAAGAGAACACTACTACTACAAAGTACACGTTATTTTGTGCATTTGATTCACACATCATTTGATCTTCATTCTGATTGATCTTAGATTTCATAGTTTGTTGATCCTTGATAAGAGCATCAACTCACTTTTTTTCTAGCACTCAATTTACATCACTATTAGATAGTCACTCCCACAGGTTATGACACCCTTCCAATAAARAAATCACCACCACCACCATTGTGAGCTATTCTAGTAAGCCATACTAGTGGATACCAACAAAGACTTCAAAGAAGAATGGAAAATASCACCCTTGCTATTGTGGGATTTGCATGTTATTTCTTGTTCTTCTACCCTGCACTACCATTGCTCATGGAAAGGTAACTTCAAAGCCACAGGAAGAAATATGCAGTGGAAAGTATGTAGGAGTAAAGAGGAACTACTATTGTTGTGTTGTCTGTTTATGAGAAGCAAGGCAGAAGTTGGGAAGGCAATTGAAGGCTATTGTTCCAGCCGTAGAGCTGCGGACCTGTATAACTTGTACCGACTCCGGACCTGTCTCKGCCTCATCTGCCTTCCTACCTCGTACCAACCATACTCTTAAAACAATACGTTAATCAATATAATTGGAACATATTTAGTTTTACATGACGTGTACTCTCTTTTTAGATTATTTCCTCCATCCGAACGACACTATTTAGAACAATAATATTTCAGGAGTGATCGACTAGGAGTGTTCTTTGAGAGAATATCGAGAACATTTTTGACGCAGTGTATAAGTAATTGAAGATATAATGAATACAATATAACGTGTACCACTTCGAAACAGTTCGATAGATATTTTTAGATTACCAAGACAAAAATAGATCCAGGGGTCTCCGACTTTCATCTCATCTCATCAAGAACAGGTGCTTGGGATTGAAGCTCTTACATAAAGAAAGAATGGTGATCTTT